GATAGATAGATAGATAGATAGATAGATAGATAGATAGATAGATAGATAGATAGATAGATAGATAGATAGATAGATAGATAGATAGATAGATAGATAGATAGATAGATAGATAGATAGATAGGTTAGCTCCCTCTAGATTTGTGATACCTTGTAAAACACAGTGTTGTGTAGAATGGAGGAACCTCGTAATGTTGTCTTCGTAAAAACAAACCCTTTGATGAAGCTCAGGACAATCATGGCAACGATGCTCATGCTGTAAACTAGCTGGTAGAAGTGAAGCCGTGGATTGCCGGTGATGCTCTCTTCGTCACAGGTTGTGTTCTGTGGAAGACTGCAGTTTGCCTTGAAAGAACAGAAAAGAACAGAATTAAAATATTATATATATATATATAATCTGCATAACTGCAACCTCTGACTGAGATTTGATGGCTGTTGGCTCCACCGGATAATTACAAACTGAGACAAAGGAACGCCAGGAAATGTTTTATTCTGTCTAGCAAAATAGATATCGCTTTTGCCTGGAGAGAAAAATTAATGATTGCACTGAAGGGAGGGGTGAGAGGGGGAAACCCAGACGGTCCTGCATTAAAAATTTAAGGCATGTATTTTTGACATTCATTTCAGCACAGTCGCTTTGGTAATGAAAATGATAACCCCACACACAGAAGGGGAAGAGGCTGGCGGGATTGGCAGAATACAAAGAAATGAATGCTTTGGACCGAGAAGACCCCGGGAGGAATCCCCAGAGCATCCCAACAGAATGCTGAGGGATTGCGGGATTGGGGTACGGGGGATACAGGGCCGTGCAATGAAAAAGAGGACGGGGGGCGGGTGGGTCCCGTCTCTTTTGTGGTGCTGCGGGGACATTTCACTAGGCCTCCCTCGCAGGACAAACACCCTTCTCCCCACACCTTTCACAGATGTGGGTCAGCCCTGGGAGCCTCCTTCTTCCACAAGCAAGCATGGACCCTTCTTGTGGTACGGCCACATCTCTGGGACACAGAAAGGCCCCACGGCGTGTGATATTACAGTGGACTCATCTCTTGCCCTGTTCAGCCCTTATTCAACCTGGTGTTACGAGCATGCTTGGGAGGAAGAGGCTTCACCATCACCACCCCACCACTCCGTGCTGTGGTTGTTGCATTCTCCACAGCCACACGGTTGGGTATGAAGAGGAGAATCATCTTGCTTGCATGTAGGGTCTACAGGTGAGGAAGAACCCAGGATTTTTAGGTTTCTTCTTCGGGTTTACAGGAAACCTCCTCTTCAGGCCTAACAGAGTATCCGTGAAGGAAGCGCATCTACAGCGCTGGACTGAATAGCGCCAGAATATGGCTTCGGCAACATCTCACCACCTGTGATATCACAAGACCTTCCCGTGGTCTCGGGTTTGGGCTCAGAAATCTCAGGGAATGGCAAAACGCTGACCTGGTAACCTCTGCCCCCCTGGTCGTGTTGGCGGTGGTGGATTATGGGGATTGTAGTCCAAAAAAGAAACCCAACCAAGCTCTATACTTCCATGGACCAAGCCAAGAGCTGAATATTTTGAGTTCTGAGGCAGGGGCACTTACCCCAGACCCTTGCTCCAACCAGTAACTCAACCACCAGTTGCTGAAGGCTGAACAGCCAATCATCAGCATGAACAGGAGAAGGATGAAGCTCCATAGTATGAAACCTAAGAAGGAAGCGCAAGACGCGTGAATCATGGTGGGCGTAGAAAGAGTTAACCTTAAAAAAGAGCCCTGTCCAGTCAAACAAGGCCCACTAAACCACCCTCTTGTCTTCTTCAGAGGCTTCTGGTAAGAGGACATGAGTATCACAGCGCTGTCCCGCCTTGCTGGGCCAACCTAGCATATTTCGCTGCCTGAGGCAGAGCAGCAAATCCATTCCTACGCAGTGGTGCTCAAGGTGCAAAGTATGCAAAGCCAGTTAAGTTAATGGGGGCACACAAAGCGGGAGATCTTACAAGTTATTCCCCCCTCCATTTTTGGCAGGGGGGAACCTCCCCCCCTCAATACAATCACAAACTCATTTGCTGTGTCCTATCATGGCAGCCAGAATGGGCTTGGTGAATTAGCTATGCAGACATGCTCCATCATCATCATTATCATGATGGATCGCTGTGCTCTGTTGCTTTTAAATGTGTTTGGTTTTATTTATCATTTCCAATACAATACTTGTTTAAGTCTTTGTAAATATTTGCATACTTACTGTTTTTAGCTTTTAAATATTGTTTTGCGTTAGGTTTATTTATTTATTTAACTCATATATGGCCCAGTAGGATATATAAGTAGGTTCAAGTTTCTGAGCGAAAACGGGTCCATGAAATGGGAGAGCTGGGTTCGAGATGGGCAGGACAGAACTTGCTCTCTCTCTCTCAGGTGAGAAGAATTAAAATTAGGGGCTTCCCCATTCAACATACGGGAATGAGGAAAGCGAGGGTTTGCGTCCCGAGTTCAAATTCCGGACACCTCCTTTTGCCCCTTAGATGTGGCATCTGAAAAATATTGCGGATTTTAGATGAAAGCTATTAACGGGGAAAAATGGAACAAGCGGCTCGTTTCTGGGAATACCTCCAGATGCTCTGATGTAAGTGTAGTAGGTTTTCCAAGAGACCGAACCCTCTTGTTTTCCTTCTTCCTTGACAAGCTGGTTTGCAGGAGCTGTGAGAGAAACCATCAAGTATTTATTTGTACTGAAAAGTTGTCTAGCGACCAGCTCCGACAAAGCGGACACATTTCAAATAAAACTGGACATCCCTCAAGCTTACCCACTACAATAAAGCTGAAGATTTAAAAAAAAAAAGACTTAGTGAAACATATTTCCCACGGCTGGCCTCAGCCGGATGAAGCCGAATGGCGAAATCTCCCACAGTTTTCCTAACGGCTGTCTGACTCTTTGGGATCCGTGACTGGAATTCAAAGAGAAGTGGCACCGATTCATTAAAAGCGATTAACACTGGTGGGGTTTCCATGCAACCTCCTACGGACTTCTCTTTTCTGACTGTGTACGATGCAACACGTCAAAAGCCAAAAGGAGATATTGATTCCCCCCCCTCATTTGTGCTATTTTGGCCCAGATTCACATGAAATGGCCAGGACTTGGAAAAGTTACTTTTTAAAATCCAACTCCTAGAATCGCTCTCCTCCAAGGTCCTGGCTTGATTTTGCAAGGCGATCCAATTACATCGCTTGGGTTTTACTTTCTTTGGTCTTCTTTGTAAAGGTGGGCGGACATTCCTATTATATTTACTTCCCCATTTCTCAAACAGACATAAAATAGCTTGGGACTGCAAAAAAGGAATTCGCCATGAATGCCTTGTTGCTCTCGAGCTTCGGAAAGAGTAACTTCTCAGTCTGCAAATGGCCAAATCTAAGCCCCACTGGCGCAACACAGCCAGAGTGGTTTTTTTTTTACTCTTAATCTGGTCCCAAAGAGAAGAGTATTACAAGTTCTTGCGTTCCAAGTTTATGAAGTCCAAAGACGGAATGAAAAGAATTAAGGATATTATGGTCTCAACTTCACGAAAGGCTACTTCAGATGTCTTCAGGAGTAATAAGACTAGTCTACATCCAGTTGGGAGTCCCAAGCAGAGGAAGCCGATTGAATGAATTGCTAAATGGTGAACCGACATGAGTAAACCCCATGGATTCCACAGATCTTCTCTAGCTGGGGCTAGAGATACATTCAGGTCAGCGTCTGATTGGGGCCACTGTAGATTCTGGCTGGTGGAAAGGTATTCAGGAGAGATAAGGTTGGTCTGAGAATACAGAGCAATCTGGGTCTACCATTCCTGCTGGGGCGAAGACCAAGATGGGGCTTCTCTAAGACAGTTGACCCAGGCAAGGTTAGCGGTTTGGGCTTCCAGGGGGTGGGCGCAGAGGGGTTCCAAGGAGCTATTGATTCTGGTGGACGGAACTCTTTTCCTCCTAGGAAAATGATCTAGTCAAGGAGAGGTTGAAAGGATGTGCCTTGCTTGATTGAAGTGTGATACAGATGCTAAACAGGCAGTTCCTACTCTACATGCATAAGTGGGACACGAGGGGATGAAGCCATTCATGTGAGAGCTCCTTGCCCCAGAAGAATAGCCCACGTTGACCCCACCACAAAAGACACACTGCGCAGGATGACCAATGAAGCCACATCTCTATTACTGTGCTTTTGCATGAGGTGGAGGCTCTTGGTGTGTCTCTGAGCTCTAATTACTACTCAAATGAATTTGCAGTTTTAATTTATGATCAAGTCAGTTCAAATATATTCAGCACGTGCCACATACCTGGATCTTTCCTCGTTTTCTGTTCTTTCTTGGGTTCCTGGTTTGTCTCGTCGGACATATCGAAAGCTGGGGGTACAAGAAAACAATCAGGGCAATGGTCTTCAATGTTCAAAAAGCCGCGTACGCAACTTTGATGATTTTACCGGGATTATTAACGCCTTCGTAGGAGGTGTCTTGGGTGTTGGCCTGAGCGTCGTCTGCCACCAGTGTTGCCGCTGGCGGGTTAAGGAAATGGCTCCCTTGACTCTGGAATTTAAAGAAAACAAAAACAGGTGCAAACGAGTTATTTCGGAAGGCGAGAAGAGCCATGCAGGATCAGGCCAAAAGTGTGTCCAGTACAGCAGCTTGCCAGGGAAGCCCACAACCAGACATGAGAGCAACGGGATTTTCGTAAGAACTGCAATTGCACAGATCTGTGGTGTTTTTTTTTTTATCACTGGGAGCGGTAGTTCCAAAGTGTTGGGAGTGCTAGTACAAAAGAAAACTCCAACCAACCTGTACATCTATTTTTTAAAAAAATACCCTGCCATGCCCAATTGTATGGAATCCAATCCAGCACTCCTTTGACCAGTTGTCTTTGGGAACCTAAGCGATGAAGGACACCAAAATGGGAAATTCAGGGGAAAGGGGAACGGCCTCATTCATGAGCTGCCTATGGGATCAAAAAGCCAGCACTTCCTTTGCTGTTCTCCACCAACAGGTATCTAGGACAGAATGCTTCGGATTCTTCAGTATATAGGGATGTGCCGTGGCCCGCCTGATCCAATCTATGCCTTAATAAGAGGCACATAGATCAGGGCTGATTTGATCCCGGTCCAGAAATGTGATGGTATTTGTGCATTTCCAGATTGCCATGAAAAACCTTATTTCCACAAATGGGGAAAACACGAGGATCTGGTGTTGGGGTGTGGTCTACACTGTGCCATTAATTTCAGGGGTGTAGTAGACGGGAGCAGGCGAAGAAGTCAGCTGGCAGGGAGATTTGTACCACCAGAAAGAAGTGGGTATGGAAAGAGACCCTAGTGCACTTATCTTGACTTAAGCAATCAAAGCTCATACAAGAGGAACAGAGGCATCCATCCTCACACACACACTCAACCCTACTAGTAAAGTGCTTAGTAAACTAAATAATATAGATAAGAAGGAAAAAATAAAATTCTGAGATGTGAGTCCTAGTTAGCAAGCATGAAAGCAAATATTTCACTTCACCCCACACAGATGCGAAATGCAGACGGAGAGTAAAGAGATCTATCACGACAATAGCCTTAGGCCGATGCCTCCTTTGCACCTCGATGGCTGGCATGCCCTTGGGAGATCTTGGGCTTTATTGCTGGGTTCAATTGTCCCCTGCTTTCTCTTTCTGGACCCTTTTGACTTCCATTTCCTCACTTCAAATCACTGGGTATTTTTGGCTACAGACCTTTGAACTCCATGAATGCTAGCTGGAACATGAATAGTCCATGGTGTGGCGGCTCCATTATGGGTGGCCCATGGCTCTTGACCTTGGAGTCAACCCAGAATTAATGAATGCTCCATCTATTTTTGCACTTCTGTCTAAACACACCACACATCACATTAAGCAGCCATGGACAACCTTTATCGTCCGTTAACAGGATCTTGTTCATTCCTTCCACAGACACATGTGTTTCCACCACAGAAGTGGTCGTTGGTGGGCTTCTGAGCTTGAATAGAAATGTCTCCCGGAATAACTTTGTCTGTAAGCTCACAACCTGCCCAGTCCCCCACACAATAGACCACCGCACGTGCCGACGGGGCAAACAAAATTCTGCCTCACAAATTTATTTATGAGAGCTTTTCAAAGGCTGTCAGTCGGCAGTTTTTGCCACACCTCATGGTAGAAATCCTGGCTTTGCTTCCCGGCTTGATGCTTGCAAACAAAGGGAAGAATACGCAGAGATGGGGAAGTTAGTGGGGAAAGTCTATACATTAAATTAATAGACTACATATTTTTAAAACTATGTTTACATTAAGTCTTACTTGCCGGTTTAAGTCTACCTTTACTGCACTAAACCTTACCAGAATGACGCTGAAAAATCCCATCTGTGATTTTAGACCCTCTCTTTTCCACGTCCCTGTTTTGAACTTTGGAAGAAAAAAGCTGCATGAATTTTTTTGGGGGGAAAAAAACACACACCCTTTTTTACTCGTCACAGCAAAACCTTTTCTCTCCCTCCCCCTTCCCTTATAATATCAGCTTCTTATCTTCTTTTTATTCAGTTCACTGATTCCCATCTGGATCTTGATTTTGGATAGGCATCTCGGTCAAGGGATTCCAACTCTGGCTCCCCAGATGTTCTTGGACCAAAACTCCCAGAAACCTTCATCCCTCGCCAGGATTTCTGGGAGTTGTAGTCCAAGAACACCTGGGGGGGCACAAGGTCAGGAAGCACTGATCTGCATCTTCCTTACTCGGTCAGTATTTGGATAGGTAGATGTGTATTATTTAGCATCATTATTTCATTATTTACACTCATGTCTCATCTTTTGCCCAACCAGCACACGGCAGGATCCACCTCTCTTCCTTTCCATTTTACATTCATGACAGATTTCCTCGGGTTGTCGCTCTCTCTCAGCGTGACCTAACTCTAATGGGCAAGAGAAGAGCCATGTCTAATGGCTCCGAGTTCATTTGAGGAAAGGCAGGAAATAAAGTTAATCCACAGAAATCCATTACATTGAAATTAAAGACAGAAGTTGCCCGAAATGATGTGCTTAACATATTCCCTTTCTTTCTGTCTGTCTGTAGGTAATAGGTCTTCCTACAATACTCTGAAGTCCTCAAGATTGTGCAGATTGAGTGAACGGCTGGATCGCTCAGTGGTTGAGGTCTCTGGCAGAGCCAGAGGTTGGGAGTTTGATTCCCCAACGGGGTGGACTCACTGATCCACAGGGTCCCTTCCAGCTCTATGTTCTAAGATGATGAGGATGATGAGACAATGTTTGGTATCAGTAATATGGGTTGTTTATTTGTTTATTGTGGAAACAGGGAAGCGAAGATCAGCTAATCTCAAATGTGTCTTAACCCAATTTAGCTTCAATCGAACCACCCCTCAGTTTGTGTGTGTGTGTGTGTGTGTGTGTGTGTGAGAGAGAGAGAGAGAGAGAGGTTTAATAGAATTCAGTTTCTGAAAACTGAATTGGGGAATCTAAACAAGACAACCCCCACAATAGTTTCTGTAGGTCAACATCAAAACCCTCCAACCTACCGTGTCTTCGTCCGTATGCAGATTCTGCACGAGGGTGGCATAGCGCCCCTTTGCTCTCATCAGCTTGGCGTGGGTCCCGCTCTCGCATATTTCGCCATCTTCCAGCAGGATGATTTCATCACAGAATTCTAAATACTGGCAGGTTGTTGTTGTGAACAAGGGAAGAGAATGACAGTGAAGGCATTCGAACGCAGGCTTATTTTTAAAACCTAAGTTAAAGGGCTATAAACCATCTGAATCATTTTTAAAACCCAAGTTAAAAGGCCATAAACTTTTTTTTTTTACACAAGCATTTGGTGCCTGATCTTCTTGTCGCTGTGCATCTCCATCTGAATTATTTTTCTACTATTTCCAAGGTTTTAGAACACAATCTGAAGTGTCCCCGACAGTCTAGAGACAGCTCAGCCATCGCCAGAATGAATGAAGCTGTGCTCAGTGTAAGCTCTTCCTAGCAGAGGGATCTTAGGGAATATTCGGGTCTGCACACCCTTGTCTCGTTTTATTTGAGCATAGTGGCAGCATGCGGGAGTGGTCTTGATGTGGCTGGATGTGGCCTGCTCCTTTTTGTGGTGATGGTCGTTGGCCAGCAGATCTGAGCCAGCCGGCCCCAGTTCAGCTGGCAGAGGGCTCTGTCTATAGATCTCCAAGACCAGAGAGGATCTTGGTTGGCACAAGACTTATGCCTAATCTTAGCTGCTTTCAGACAGAACTTCGAATCAGGATTGCACTGGCATGGGAATATAAATAATACAGTAATTGCATGCCGTCAGTTCCAATTTATGGCAACCCTTCCCTGGATTTTTCAGGTAGAGAATACTCAGAAGTGCTTATTTCCTTTCCCTCCCTCTAGGGGGAGCCCTGGGACTGTGCAGGTGGCCCAAGGCTCCACAGGCTGGCTCTTCTCCCAGGAGGTCCGTTGGGGGATCGAACCCCCAACCTCAGGCTCCTCAGCCAGAGACCTAAACCAATGAGAAAGGGTTCCATTCCAAACTGAAATATTCTTGAGTCTACCCACCAGGCTTGCATTGTAATAGCTCAGTTCGAAAGGTATTTGCATTCTTAATATTTACAAGCAGCTCCGTGCTCTTCTTTTGGATAGATTGCAAATAAAATTTTATTATGATGATTTTAGAGTACACACTGCGAAACGTTAAAGGAGAAAAAGATGGGACGTCTCAGGACAAGCTCACCAGCTTGTGCAGAACATTTCCCCATCCTGGGCTGAACCGGAGGAGGAGCGGGACGGCAAAGGAAATCTAGCGAGGCACTTATAGCTTTTGACAGCGTGCATGCTTCGTGCACAGAACAGCTCTGTTCGTGTCAATCAAAACAAATCTTCCGTGTGTCTTGGAATAATCCTTTCCCCCAATTTTCCCATGCATCTTTCAAAAGCCGAAAGCACCCGGAGAGCTTTTGATTCTCTCAGCCGTGGCTTTTCTGCCACCTGCTGGTATTCCTGTTCTTATTTTATTTTCCAAGATAAGATTGGGCAAGGAGAAAGCAACCCCTTGCCTGTTCTGAGCGGGGAAAAAGGCAACTCGCCAGGGATTGATTTAATTGATTGATCGATTGATGGATGGCGAGGGAGCAGATCCTAGAGCAAAGGGTGAGTCTCAAACAGCAAGACTGCGGGAGATGATGTTTAGTGAGCCTCTAAGAAATAGGCCCAAGTTTAAATCAATAAATCAATAACTCTAGAACTGCAGAATTGGAAGGGATCCTATAGATCATCTAGTCCAGCCCCTGTCAAGGAGGCTGAGTGGGGAATCAAACTCCCAACCTCTGATTCCACAACCAGATGCCTAAAACCAATGGTTGCCATTGAGTGGAACATCTCCCCTACTGGAAATAATATATAGTCACCAATACAAGGGGCCACCGAAAGCCTTCTTTGTTACCATTTGACTAAAATCCCTATATTGTTCTAGTTGGTGGACACAACAAATGCTGTGCGTGTGGATTTCAGAGCTGTGACACAGGAGTTTTTTTCAGGCCAACTTCCATGTTGCTTCAGCGCCTGGCACCCCTCTGAACCAAGCGTTCTTTTAAAAGACTTCTCTGGAAACCTACCTATAATAGCAAGTCTCTAGAAAAGTTCAGGCTTAGCCAGGGTAGTGGCAGAAAGGGAGCAAATTGCCGCCTCCCATGTTCTGCTGCCTGAGGCCACCAGAGGATGGCCCTGACCTTCGGCAGGATGGAGAAGAAAAGACCCCCCCCCCAACTGGTAGGAACCCATCTCATGTTCTTGGCGTTACCTGCAGCTGGTGAGTGACAAGAAGTATAGTTTTCTCTCTCAGGGCCTCTTTGATGCACTGTTCAAAAATGTGCTTTCCGACGTGCGCGTCGACTGCGGACAGAGGATCGTCCAGTAGGTAAATATCTCTGTCGGCGTACACGGCCCGTGCCAAGCTGATCCGCTGCTTCTGCCCTCCGGAAAGGTTGAGGCCCCTTTCTCCGATCTTGCAAAAGATAACACCGTTATGTCAGCCGAAGGGTTATGATCGTTTTTATTTAGGAGCTTCCCGTTTAATAAAAGCTTTACATCCTTATTAAAAGATCAGTGCCTCCGAGTAGCATTTCCCCAGCGAGGCTCGGAAGCCGTGGACTTTTCCTCACATCCATACCTTCACGTCACCGTTTTTTTATTCACAGAGGATGCTAGTGACATCTCTTTTTTTCGGACAAAAGCTTTACATGAGTCTTGGGTGTTTGACAGTTAAGTTAAAACCCACCATGCCATGAAAGCATGCAGTTTTGCTAACCAAATAAAAGTGTTTATTTATCTTATTATTTTTTTCTGGACTATACTGGGGCAAATATTCAAGAACCGCACCGAAAGCGAGGAACAGACGTTTGAGGATGAGTCGGGTTGTAACCTCCAAGTTCTATGTCTGCATGGCTTGAATTAATGGAACCATAAAGCCTGCCGTCGTGTCCTGGCTTTTAACAGGCCCATTCGCGGCCATTTTCAGACGGGCTAAAGAAGGCAGTTACTCCTCCATAAACAGATCTCAGTTGCCCCTTTTGATGGCACCTCCTGAAATCTTTTCCATTTCGAGGACAAACGATGGAGATCCAAGATGTGGAGGAGGACGGTTTAACCCTTCTTCCTCATGACGATTTTCCATGAGAAATTCCTGCGCCAAAAGGAGATTCATGCCTGGGTTGGATGTATGTTTTCACTCTCTGCAGGAAGGTGCATCTCTTTCCTCCACAGTATGCGAAACATGTTGTTCGGAGGTGCATTAATGCAGAAGTTGAACACACTCACAGTTTTACCGCCAAGAACTTACTGCTTTGTCACAGGATCCTGAGGTGGCCGCCTCCCTTTACCTAAGAATAGGGCCGGCCCTTGTCTTCTGAACATTTGTTTGCATGACAGAAAGTTACAAGTTACAAGGGCTTCTTTTCGACAACACAGTTGTGGTAACACAGCATCAAGCCAGATCCCAAAGGCTCCCCGTTAGAGAACTTTGAATGAAAATCTAAATTGACAAGATGGCCTGGAGGGACGTGATGAACAGATTCTATTATTATAGCATTTTTTCGATCCGGTAGGATACGTATCCGCTTTCATTGCCGTCACTTGAGGGGACACACCGCAATTGAGAGTGAAGCTTGGATAATAACATGGGTCTGCTTAAGCAAGCTTTCCATCCTCTTACCAGCTCAATTGTCGCCGACAAAACATACCGATTATGCAGTGGCTGTGAAACAGTCTACAGCTCTGTGTCACCCCACAAAGCTGACTTTAGATCATGAGGGGAACCCTACTTTTTAGCTATAGTTGAAGAAGTCTGATAGTAGCAACCGATGGCGAATAGCATGTATTAGTCAATAACATGCCATTGGTAGTTTTGTTACTTTCTCAGACTACATCTCCCAGAATCCCCTGTCTACCATAATGTGGGGGATACTGAAGCTATGTACCCCCCCCCAAAAGGGAACATTTCCAATCTACGATTAAAATAGTCTTCCTCCACTTGGAGCATTCTGAAATGTGCTGGAGACTCCATTCTCCTCATGGCGTCGGCATGATGATGGGTACTGTATTACAACCCACCTGGAGGGCAGGAGACTGGGAAGAGAAATTGAAGTGCCCATGGAGCAGTCTGTGGTAGGAAAAACACATGACTCCAGAACAGATATTGGCCTCCCTCCATCCAAGCCCCCCCCCTCGCCGCCGTGAAATCAATATAGATGTGACAAATGAATTTAGCAGCCTCCTGACAAGTAGAGTAACAGTAAGAAAGTTGGTTGGAAATGAATAAGTCGTCACATGAGACAAACATTTAAGAAGCAACAATGCGCCGGAGATCTAAATTGAAATGACTTTTAGGATGATACTTACCTCAGTCATGTCTCCGTACGGAAGAAGATCCAAATCGGGGTTCAAACCGCAGACTTTGAGGGCATAATTGTACCTGTGAGATTGAAATTAAACCATGTTCAGCCCTGCTTTGACGCCAACGAGCCCCTGTAACTTGGTTACGCCGATAAATGAGGTATTGCCGGTACACGGCGGTAACCCAGTGACACACCTTTGGAGACCCACTCTCGCGGGATCTGTGATCTTTGGGATCCAGAGAGCTAAATTATACTAGATCATCAGTGGGGATGGTGGCTTATACAACGTATGAACCTGCCCAGACGTGAGAGTGACAATCTGAGCTTCTGCATCATCCTTCCACTGCCATTTCATGTGGGGTAGGGAGGGTCACAAATTGGACTTTCTATGTGGTGGAACCTCGTTTCTGGACAGACAGATACCCTAACACCATTTTTGTTCTCCTTTTGACACAACTAAAAAGCTCTTTCATGTGGTCAAGACTTTGTAGACTCTGAGATATTATTTAATAATTTCAGAATGGCAGAGCTGGAAGGGGCTTTGTAGACTCTGAGATATTATTTAATAACAATCTCAGAATGGCAGAGCTGGAAGGGGGGGGGAACCCTCTGGATCATCCAGTCCAACCCCTGTCAAGGAGTCCCCGTGGGGGGAATCAAACTCCCCACCTCTGGCTCCTCATCCAGAGACCTCAACCCCGAGCTACTCAGCAGTTAGGCTAGGTCCTCAGCCAGAGACCTCAACCCCTGAGCTACTCAGCAGTTAGGCTAGCACTGTATGTTATTTTATGTCCTGCTGTGTTCCGTTTTCACATTTAAAAAAAAACACTAAAGGGATTTGTTATTTTGAAGTCTTTGTTGGGTTGTTTTGCTGTATATCACCCTGACAGCAACGCTGAAGAGTTGCTGAGGAAATATCTTTACTGCTGTTTGGTACGGCGTCTCGGTAAACGCTGGTGCAAAATTGCTGCTCTCATACTTTCCTTTACATGTCCGTAAATAAAAGGGCTAGAGATTTATAACTTTTATTTTTTTAAAAAGGTAAAGTTTAGGAAGTGGTCTGAAGGAAACTGGGCAGGGAGCCCTCACTCGCTTTGGCTCCAGCCCTGGTTTCCTCTTGTTAATGTCCAGGTTTACCTCGGTTCGTCATAACGTTCTCCAAAAAGGATGTTTTCTTGGACGGTCCCATGAAAGATCCATGCCTGCTGTGACACGTATGCCAAAGTGCCATCCACGGCCACCGACCCTTTGGAAAGATACATCTGAAACAAGTCCATGGGCTGAACGTGAGGTTAGAACCGGACTCATCCTGCTCCCTATAAACTACCACCATCAGTATCATAAATCATGATCTCTACTGAGTCACTGTTTTGTGAACAGTGCCTATATATATAAAAAGATCACTACTGTAGATTCCTCTGCAATGACAACAAATGAAGAGATACGTTTGGTGGCGTCTGTCTACATTTCTCTGCAATCACACACACACACACAGAGAGAGAGAGAGAGAGAGGCAGGCATGTATGGACGCAGAATTTGCTCAGGTGCCCGAACGGATTGCAGAATGGGATAATCAGGAACACTCCCAATGACATCAAAAGAACGGATTGCAGAATGGGATAATCAGGAATACTCCCAATGACATCAAAGGAACTATAGCTCTAGCGCTATGCCAGAAAGGAGGGGAACAGCTTGCAAAAGGAGCGGGAGGATCGTTCTGACTTAAAATGCACATGGTTACCAGAAAATAGGGCAAACCAAACCACACACCCAAAGCGAACAAAATAGTGAGCTATAGGCTTGTCGGACCACCCTTTGGGTCCTCTTTGAAGCTTCCAACCAGCCTGGAGGAAGACTCTTGGTGAAACACCATAATCTCTCTCAATTCAACCCAACTGCATTTGCAAGGCCCTTCCTCTTCGTTACAGCTCAGGAACAATTAATCAACAAAAATTAAATTAAGATTAAGTCTCCTCCAAGACTTCACAACCCTCCACAGCAGGGTTTTTTTTTTTGTATCTTCTTGCCTACAAAAATATGCACATGTCTTTTGAAGCTGCCCTGACGAGATATTATTTCCATGGTATGGACTGAGGTCTTTTTCTTATAGAGAGCATTGCTACCTCTGCCCTTTATAGGATCAGCGCAGCCCCAAACAAAGAAGGAAGGAAGGAAGGAAAATCATTGAAAAACATCCCACTATCCATGAACAAAAAATAAAGACGAGATACCAAAGAAAAGAGAGAAGTCATACCTGTCCTAATATTGCAGTGATGAGCGAGCTTTTTCCACTGCCTACTTGTCCACAAATGCCCAGGATTTTGCCCTACAAAAGTACACGGATGTTGAATTTGCCATTTATACTCAGCTGCAAGGTCTATCTTTGCCCACAGGTATCTTAACCTGCAAACCTACGTACTTTCTTTATTGCATAGGTTATGTTGTGCAGGGTGAAGCTATTGCTGCTCTCCGTCCCGGAAAAGTTTATCTGATGGAGAGAAACGACGGATTTTGCAGGCAATGTTGGGCGTCTATGGATCTTTTCATTGTTCTGAGGACTTTCCTTGTTTATTTTGGAGCAGCATGGACTGGGAGATCTTTCCCAGGACAAGGTTGCGCCTTCTAGGATGACGGCATTTTGGGGGTCCTTCATGGGCTTTACATAGTCAGGAGGAATTTCCATAAGCAGAATTTTCTGAAAAGAAAAGAAGACAGGGTCAATGCATTCAACGCCAACCGGGACAGGCGGGCCCATTTTCAGTCAGCAGAGTCCTGGCTTGGTGGTAGAGCACATCCTTCGTAGGAAGAAAGGCCCTGAGCTTCACAGAAAGCAAGAAGGGTGTTACATACAGCACTGATGTTACCTGTCTGTCATGGGTTTGGAGGGAAAGTTCCATCCTATGGGGAGTGGAAGGCGGGACATCAGGAGGAGGGGCTGTACTGTATATATATGTGAAGCCTGTGTGGTGAAGTTGAGACGCTGGGATGTGACAAAGCAGCAGCTGGGAAGAAGAAGCTGGTGTGGGAGTCTGTGTGTCAGACAGGGTACTACTGTGTGTCAGAGTACCAACCTGATAGGTTCAGGTGTCTGTTGGTTAGCCAGAACTGATAGGTTCAGGGTCTGTGCTTCAAGTTAAGGGTTCTGTGTGAACCAAACTGTGTGTATGTATGAGTGAAACTAAGCCACGTTACTATATCTTATTCACCTAATCATTTTATTTTCCCTGTGTGTGTTTTAAATAAACCTTATTCTTTTATTTGTTGAAAATCCATCCCTGGTCTGTGTGACTTCTTAAAGGGAATGGTTGGTGGCAGCTTAGTTAACGTGTGGCAGATCCCAGTAGGTCTGGGTTTGTCACAAAGGGTTCATTCCTGGGCATGTCTAAGAGTAAATTGAGAAAAGCTCTGGGCCCAAAGTCATACATGGTTGAGTTTTCAGATCACAGCTCTCTCCAGGGCAGTGTTACAAAGTGGTAATCAGCTGGAAGAGATTGTCCTAGATTTGGGTGGAGAACCTCATTCAATCCAGCCCTCTGAGGGTCCTCAGAACTCAAACCCTGTCTTAATGACACAATTATGAGGTAATGTCCTAGCTTTTGGGTGGGTGGGTGTTTTTTGGGGGGCGTGTGGGGAGCAAAGATTTCTAAAAAGGCTGAAACACCTCTCCTAAGGTTTAGTTACTGGAAGCAACCGCTTTATGGTAACACTGGTCCCCAGCCTTGCGTCCGCAGATGTTCCTGGACTCAAACTCCCAGAAGTCTTCACCACTAGCTGTGCTGGCCGGGGTTTCTGGGAGTTGTAGTCCAAGAACATCTGGAGACCCAAGGTTGGGAACCGCTGTGCTAGAATATGGTGGGATTTCTGATCCCACTCCTTTCATCTTTGGCCCCACCCACCAACTTAGCGTGGTCCCCCCATAACTTCTCCAAGACCCTCAGGCTGAAAGAGAGCCCCCCAACTTGGACTAGAGGGATCCATGGCAATTCCCCCCCCCCAAAAAAGCTCTGTTCTTGACAGATGGATATATCCGAGAGTGGAAGCCCATGGTGATTCCTTTTGTTTCCTTGCCAAACCATTCTCAAATATCTACCTTTAAAAAAAACACTCACCTTTAGTCTTTTTAAAGAGACGTTGGCCTCTGCTGCTGCTTTCACAGAGAACGGCAAAATGACGATGGAAAACTTCATGACGTTAAACATGGCGATCACACTGAAGGCCTAGAAAAGGAAGTGAATTAAAATTTATTTTATTTATTTATTTATTATATTTATATGCCACCCATCTAGACATAGTCTACTCTAAAAGACTGTTAGGATTCTGTTATGGGTTGGTGGTGCTGGTGTTCTTTCTTTAAGGGTTTCGAAAATCATCAGTGTCTGTTTACTTATACTGCACAGCGGGATCGATATTGAGGCTATTGTACTATAAGGGCTTCCTACCCAGAAAGAGGAAATTTTTTTTATAATAATCTGAGAACTGCAGAGCCGGAAGGGACCCGGTGGATCGTTGAGTTCATCCGCTGTCCAGGAGGCACAGTGAGGAACCAAACTCCCAACCTCTGGCTCCACAGCCAGAGACCGAAGCTATCCAGCAGTTCTGTTACTTTTTGGACCATTTTTTTCTCAGAACACCCCAGGGTAGCATAGTCAATTGCAACCTCCCCCCTTCCCACAAAACTCCCCAAAGCATTCAGAAAACTTGTTTTTGGCTGTTCCAAGGGAGAAGGAGAAGGGTCCAAAAATACTACTAGAGTTAGGCTAATAATAATAACCTTAGAAGTGCTGAAGTCTCATCTTCCTCTAATTATCACATGCTCTACTGATTAGGACTCCCAGCCCCAAGATCTGTGCAGAACCCAAACTACCCGCATTCACCAATTCTACGTGTTCATTGGCATGCAGGGCCGGCCCTACCATTAGGCACTTTGATGGCGCTGCTTCCAAGGGGCAGTATCAGTAACCTGTTGGTCATTCCACCTGAGCCCCCTCTGGACCTTCTTAGAGAACAGAGCTGGCTCTGTGCCATGGCTAACTTTGGACCATCTAAGCCAGCTTCCTTACCCTTGGATGCTGTGAATGACCCTACTTCTATTTTCAGTGCTGAAGAGCGATTCAGTTGCCATTCAGGCTGGACCAATGGGCCAAGGGCCTGAGTCAATATAAGCCGATTCCTACATACTTAATGGCTTCTCTTCACTGTTCCAGTTTTGCTACCATCATACCACCATGAGCATACCAAACCTATCTGATCTCAGAAGCTAAGCAGGGTCTGGGCTGGCTATTGCTTAGATGGGAGACCGTCATGGTGCTTCATAGCTCTCCAGGTAAGGCTAAGATAGAATCGCGCTTGTAACCTGGACTGCCACTGCAGAGTAGGAAATACTGGGCTAAATAGACCCAAGGGTATTTCTTCCTACACCGAAATTCCTATGTTCCTGTGATAAAGTAGAAAGGTGTAACATGTAGTTTGGCCCAACGATTTGGGACACCATAGAGATTCATAATAGACAAGAGATTCAGGCGAGAAACAGACAAGATTACACTGGATGCTTGAGGGTTTAGGAGTATGTCTTACAACAGAGGCGGTGAGATCCTGCTTTAAAAGGGTGTGGAAGAAGAAAGTCAGGACAATCGAGAGGGTGGACACAATAGGCGAGAGGGCAGAATTCACACTTTGAACGTATCCTGCTTTTTCCAGTATTTTCCGTTCTCCCTTCCTGATGCCTGTGCAGAACAAAAGATATCCTCCGATTACGATGTGAACAAAGTGTTAAATCCTGCCTCCTTCTAGATGGCGGCATGCCGCTTTGCAAGTTTTAGCTCTGTGTCTTGAATTATTGGTGAATCACGGAGAGTGTAGAGAGTGATCCAGTGAAGGCATTTCACTAGGATTTAAAAGCCCTCCCTCCCCGCACTTCTCTCTCTCTGCCGTACCTCTGACGGTGTTTGCAAAAGACTTCTCCCAAGAATACATTTTGATCAGTTTAATGCAGGTCAAAATCTCATTCATGATCCGTACACGCTTGTCGGTCACCACAATGGCTGCCCTTCGGAATGCAGATGTTAGCCTGGCCATGAGCATCTGTAATAGATTATTTAATGATTCTACAAAGAATTGCAAGGCTTTGTATGAAAATGGTAAATTAACTGGGATCACAGAGTAGCAGGGATGCTGAATAAAAATATTAGACCCTCCAACATTTTATTGCAGATTTCAATTGTCTGTATTTAACTGTGTTCAACTGTCATTGTTTTTAAAAAGATGAAAACATTACCTGTATGGGTATGAAAACAATGTACACAAACGTTCCTATGAGCGCAGTTGGACCAAGGATGGTACAGGAATAGACTGAACACACAACCATCAGCAGAGGCGCAGCAACTGGCAAGGGACAAAATAAAGCCGCTTCAAACATCCTGTAACCATCGTTGGCTAAGAGGTTGATCACCTGGAAGACGTAAAGGAACATGCATGATTTCTCAACAAACTGATCTGGAGTGACCTTGTGTTGAACAGTTTTCAAATGATCTTCAGTCAATTTATAACACCAGGATTACAGTGGTGCCTCGCTAGACAGTTACTCCGCATGACAATTTTTTTCCGCTAGACATTGACTTTTTGCAGTCGCTATAGCGATTTGCAAAACAGTGATTCCTATGGGGGAATTTTGCTGGACAATGTTTGGTCCCTGCTTCGCAAACCAATTTTCGCTAGACGATGATTTTGACAGCTCCCTCCGCACTTGCAAAATGGGTGTTTTCGGGACCTAAGCTTCGCAAGACAGCTATTTAAACAGCTGATCGGCGGTTTGCAAAGCAGCTTTCCTATGGCCGATGTTTGCTAAACAACAATTCTACCCCATTGGAATGCATTAAACAGGTTTCAGTGCATTCCAATGGAGAAATGCTTTTCGCTAGATGATGATTTCGCTAAAGAGCGATTTCAGTGGAACAAATTATCATCGTCTACCGGGGCACCACTGTATATGGTCTGGATGGGGCTGCCAGGAGAACCTTCCCGCATTAAACAGACAGGCCTACACCCACTTGGTAGCCCCAATGAGGCTACACCCACTATAGCAGTGGGGTTTCTCTCTGTGCCACCATTTTGCCAAGAGCGATTGTATCTGGGCCACAATTTGTACGAAAGCTCTTGCATGCTTCTATAAAACAGAGCAGAACATGAAACACAACCTCTGGCTACATGGGATGGAGATTCTGGGAGTTATAGCCCAGAAAAGTAACTTTGCTGCACTCTTATTACTCTAGACACCATTAGCCCCATTGTCCTAACTGGCCTAGAAACCGTTTGCCCTTCTCTTCATTGCTAGGTCATTATTGCTTTAGATTGCTCTTTTTAAGCATTGCACTAACTAAACGTATTTTACAATTGAGAGTTGCAACTGGATGGCTGCACAGAACACACAACATACAGATGAGTTGGGCTGGAGTGCATTCCCCCATGTGCCGTGTGATCACCAGGAAACAGATCTCACTGGATCATTCCACCAAGGGTCCAAAATGCAACCTTTTTTCCTGTGTGGGCCCACCCTCCATATTCCCGGGCTACCGAGCTGGTCTGGGACTGAGATGATAAAAGAATTACTTCTCCCATGGAGGTGTGCATCAGGGTCTTGAATGCCAGCAATCTCTCAAAGGCCACCATCGAAAAAGCAACTTTTAATCTGATGGCCGTGCGGTAGTTGATGGCCCAAGCTAACGACCAGCAGAGGATTTTGGAAATTTCGGTGAGAAATAAGGCCACACAGAGGCCGATTCCTCGGACCAGATCCGTGGAGCCGCTTTCACTGTATTGGAGGATGCTATGGATGAGCACCGTCTGCAAAAATTAAATTAAAAGAAAGGAAAAAAAGAAATTATTTGGGAGAAGGGAATTATTAGGATTATTTGGATGAAGAGAAAGGTATGTATCATTAAATCTACGGATCTCTGAGATTTTCGACTTGAAGCTAGTAGGGAACTGGAATACTCTTCCCAAATATTTTTGTGAATTCGTTGGAAAGAATAATATGCTTTTCCAGGTGCTAAGGCAGCGATGGGGAATGTGTGTGCTCCCCAAATGGTGCTGGACTACAACTCCCATCAGTCTTAGCCCACAAAGTTAATTATTGAGGTGCATGGGATTGCAAGTCTAGCACTATCTGGAAAGCTACGTGGAAAAGCCAGCTGCACTTCAGCTGTTTTGCTCGGACTATAAAATATAAGTCAGACCTTATTCTGAGCCAAGTTACTGGTCCCTCTGAAATCTTGTACACATTATTATTCCAGACATTGGTCATGGTGGAGTTTTATTCACAACCTTGCATGCTGCTTGTAGGTTTTTTTGTTTGTTTGCTTGCTTTTGATTTGGAGGGAGTTTTTCTGGGTTGGGGTGACCATCAATCAATCCAGCACTAACGAACTGTTTTCCTTGCTTCTGAATTCAAAGAGATTCTTGCCTCTTGGCCGAGTTCTCTTTTCCTCTCTTTAGTCTGCTGGAAGCAGCATTTGAGAAAAAGGAATTCTACCAGAAGTTCAAAACTCTGGTCATGTTAGCTAGAGATTTCTGGGAGTAACAGTACATCTTTCTTTCTTCTCTCCTCAAAGCTCTGTTCTGAGCTAGGAGAAATTCTCTGCTATCTATCTTTGACAGAACTATCTCCTGGTCAGGCTTTTGAATGGGAGAGCTGGGTCTGAATGAAAAGCATTTGGGAGACAGTGCATGAACGGTCTTGTTGAATTCATCCATCTTTGTTCTGAATGGGTGCTTAAAGCATGTTGACGAATCTACTCCTACAATGCTCACCGGTCCTAAGGCACCAAGTGTCATGCAGAAGACGTTGGCCAAAATGTCCACCAGAACTCTTGTCCTCTGAAACCGAAGGACCACTTTGGCTAAAGATGCTTTCTCGGGTCCGACTTTGGCCAGCTCGGCTTCCCAAATAAGTTGGAGTCTGTTAAGGGGGGGAAAAAGAAAACCCTACATTGTTGATTTCCTTCGTTTTCTTTCATTTGTATCTGAGCGTTACACAGTTTAAAAGTATGGCTGTATATGAAATATACATGAAATTAAACAGAAATTGAAATGGTAAGATCATTAGACTGTTTTTGACCAGAAGCAGGGCTACTTCAGTGGCGTTATCTCAGCCATTTGCTAGATCTTCTTTTGTAAATCTGGTGGGGGAAGTTGCACCCCCATCAGTGCTGCATGGGTTGAATTTCTCCAGTCACAGAGAATGTGTCCTGTATCCAGGTAACCCCATTTTACTTGACTTTTCTTTGATCTTCCTACTTCACTTTTATGAAGTCTATTTCAGTGGTCCCCAACCTTGGGCCTCCAGATGTTCTTGGACTACAACTTCCAGAAGCCTTCACCACCACCTCTTCTGGCCAGGATTTCTGGGAGTTGAAGTCCAAGAACATCTGGAGGCCCAAGGATGGGGACCACTGTATTAGGTGACTTCTGGAGGCAGTCAGAGACCTAAACCACAGAGTTTTCCCCGGATAAGAATGTGCTACTCCACTCCAGGACATTCTCAAGGGTCAGAGAAAACAAAGGACGACTTCTTTAGCTTACCCACCCTAAGCTCTTGTTTTGGGGTCCACGTGTGGCCTCACCTTTTGGCGTTGGGCTCCGTGCTATCGTGCCAAGACAGCGGGGGCAAAGTGGCGACGTCAATGTTGCGCCGGAACCCCCTGAACATGACAGACGAGAGCCAAGAAAATGTCGCAAACGAGAAGAAGCCGGCATCGTCCAGTGGATTCACAGAGCTGTACAAGGTGGCGTTAAAGATTGCAGGTTAAAAAGTAGAAAATACATGACTTACACAGTTATTTTTTTGTCTAGGTTAAATTCTCTGTCCCATCAACCCCATGACTGGCAGAAGGAAACTGAAAAGGACAGTAGTCACAATAATAAGAATAATATTAATAAAATCTTAATTCTTACCTCCCTCTGTGGTATGTCAGTCTCTCCTGGATGCTTTTTAGAGAACTTCTATTCTATTGTATCTATAATGGAAGTCATTCACGCGTTGTACTTGCCTGGCCTGACAACGGATGGGGATCATATTTTTTAAGCTGGAAGCATATTTCTGGCAAAAGGTCTTCTCGTCCTTCCCTTGGCCAATGTCGGGGGGACGCAGATAATGGTCTGAGGCGGCCACCTTGCCCATTTGATACCATGGCTCGCTGCTTTCACCCAGTTCTCTCTTTGAAGTGGGGGAAAAAAACCCCCAAAGGGAGACAGAGAGGGAGAGAGAGAGACTCTTTATTGGTTTGTTTCTTGAATTTATTTATTTAAAAGATTTTTTTACCCTGTTTTCCTTCTTTAAAAGGACACTGGGTGGCTTACATCAGTAAAAGACGGTACTGAAAGCTCAAAACAATATGTACACAAATATTGAAAAGGATCGAACAAATGCTGTGCTAAAAGAGAGTGAATGAAACCAACACCACGAACACATGCAAAGCGACAAGGCCCAACAATCCATTAATAAAACAAAGAAACCCACAAACCACTTCTGAAGTGCATGCTTATTTTGAACTTTGTTGGTTTGGTTCTTATGGAAGGATTCTGCTGATGTGCTAAAATAGCCTCACCGGTGCTGAGCGACTATTTATTCTGGCATCTGGGGGTTTCGCTAACGGCCCTGTTTATTCAGCTTGGGTCGTTCGAGGTTGGACAACGTGGGGGAAAGGATGGAAGAATAGAGGGGAAAGTTTGGAGCCCAAGAAGCAACAGGTGTACTGATTTCACAGTGAGCCCTCCCCTTTCATGCTTATCCCAAGAGGAGGAGCAGGTCAATTGATGCCTCCGGTGAAAATTTGAGTCAACCTCTCGTTAGAGCGCTAATATCCATCCTTAGCAGTGGCGGCCTCTGAGTCTGTCTTGAGACTTTCCACTGCCTGACGGGGAGCATGGAATGGGAGCCCACCGCTCACCCTGGTCATGGGAGTCCCCAGATCCAGTTAAAAAAAAACAAGCATGGGCACTAAGAAGCTTATTGTCATCGTTGACTGTAAAGAAGGAAGTAGCAAAGCAATTTTGAGATGTGAGGCAGAAAATCCCATAAGGGAATCTTTCCTTGAAGTAAAAGGAATGCCTTCACGATTTTGACCAAAAATGAATGCCTTCACGATTTCGACCAATGGATTGTTTCAAGTTGGTGACACCCAAACTTGAGACGTGGAGCGTTTATTGAGAATCTCTGCTCCAAAAAAAACAAAACAAACGCCCAAAGGAACGTTGCTAAGTGTCGAATCCCTTCCACACCAGTAAATCCCCTCTTGCAAATACATCTGTCATCCCCTGCTCTGCCGTCTTTCTTAAAGATGGCTTCCGGCATGCTAAAGGTATAATTTTCGCTCTTGCCTCCTTGGTTTCTTGGCTTCCTAGTTCACTCCTGGCTGGAAGGAACCTCTCCATTGTCTCCGTCTCAACTGCCTGCTTCAACGGTTGTGTTGAACTTCTAAAGAATATTCCGGCAGCAACGTTCTAAGCTCCCCCACCCCACCCACTTCTGTCAAAGACACATCCCTTCATTCCTTCTTCTGGTGAAAGAATTAAGACGAGGCATTCTGTTCTACCCTGTCTCACTCTTCAGGAGTGAACCAGTGACCGTATGGGCTACGTACATACAACCGCACCAAAATGAAAAGAGGGGATTATTTGGGTCAGCCATACTTGGAGAAGCTGGAGAGCTCAGTGATTGAGGTCTCTGGCTGCAGAGCTATTGGTCGGGAGTTCAATTCCCCCACCATGCCTACCAGGAGAACAGCCAGCCTAGGTAGCTTTGGGAAAGCTGCACACTCCCAGGGTGCCCCCTAGAGGAAGGGAAGGGTAAATTACTTCTGAGTATTCTTGACTCAGAAAACTGCAAAAAGGGTCACCATAAGTCAGAACTGACTTGACGGCACATTATCATCATCATTGTCATCATCATCATCATCATTGGATGTCTTTATTTTTTATCGAAGCATGGCCTGTTGCTACCTAATGGGCACTAAACCTATTGACATATGTACAGGGGTAGTAGCTAACAGTGAAAGACACAACGTTTGTCTAGCAAAGGGACACCCATCCTTCAGCTGGCGCCCTGCCCCTCCCAAATTAAAGCCAAGGCATCTGTGACTCGTGAAGGAACAGCAAAGGATTTATTTATTTATCTGTTTATTTTATTAAATTTATATCCCGCCCATTTAGACAACGTCTACTCTGGATGCTGGAGCTAAGGCATAGAAACAAAGAACTGCCCACCCCTTAAAACGGAGGGAACCCAAGGAATGTCTAAACCGTAGTCACACAGAGGAGGCCTGGTTACTTGGTTGTCACTTAATAGGCTTCAGATGGACTTCTCAAAACCAAAGCAAACCTTAAAAAAATGAGGGTTTGGCACCCACGCAGTCCGGCTCAAGTGTGGACAAGTTCAGGTAGCCTCATATTTTATGTTTCTTGACGAGCACCAGAGAAGGCTTGATGCTAGCTGTCCCAGTGCCCTTGAGGCTGGGAGTTACTGGGCAACAATGATCTTCATTGCACTGTAGTGCTTCTAACACAAAAACTGGGAGTTACTGGGCAACAATGATCTTCACTGCACTGTCTGACACAAACAAGGGAAGAGCTATCCATTTAGCTGAGGAGGAAGTACACAGCTTCCCTTCTTTCTGTTTCAGTCTACTGGTGATGTTGGTCATGCCAGGAGTGTACCACGGAACCAGTGTAATGGGCTGATGGCCCTTTGCTTGTCAACTTGGGTTCACACAAGGTTGGAAGCTTGGCCACCCAAGGACAGAGGGCTTCCCTGGGTGGAAGACCACAGGCTCCTTTTCTTGCTCTTCCAAAGAAGATAGTGGCCACTATCTTTTGCCTTATCTCCGAATCTCAAGACACAAACACACTTTCTTCAGCTGTTTGTCTGGAAGCCCTTTGCTCGGAAGGAGAATAATTAACCAGCCGAATTATCAACGCAGTTACTCACGTAGGTCAACCCGGTGACCCTGTTGGTCTCCTCGTACTTCTTTTCCTCAAAGGTATTATTTCTGCATTCCAGAACATGTCCTCCATTTCTCTTAGACATTTTCTTATGAAGTCGCTGCTGAAGACTTTGGGTGGGATGGGGGGAAAAGTAATAAAAATGAGCATTAACCCCAAACACTATAAAGATGTAAAGCACATTTTAGTATTGCATTGTGGAACAGCAGAGAAAGATAGTACAAGCACCAAGCAAAAGTCAAAATATCAATGATAGGAAATAAATTCAGGCCAGATTCTGTGCAACATGAACCACTTTTGGCTTTCTGAACTTGCTTTAAAAAATACATTTGCATTGAAAATGTAATTCTGGGTTATAGAGACGAACCCTTTGACCATCGCCGATCCTTCTGCTGAGGCTTCAGGAGAACTAGCAATTCATTTACGGTTTATTCAAAGGTTTTCTCAGGCAGGCAATATTTCCCTGTAACTTTCCCAGATTTTCTGCCAGACAGTTCACTGCCTAGATTTCTGTTCTCTCCTTCTTCCTCTTTGTTCCGCTGTTCCTCGATAAATATTTCGAGTGCACTGTTAGTATGAAAGCGCTCTCCTTCAGCACAGAGGCACGTGGAATAGAGCGCAGGAGGAGAAAGATGCAGAGGGGATGTTCAAAAATAAGGCTGAGTTTTAGGGTGAACTTATTTTGCATGGTGTCGGATGAAAAGACCTTTGTCACAGTTCACAAACTTCCCTGGCTGCCAAGAGGACTTGGCATGGAAACTGTGTCCGGCCCTTATACAACCAACTGACGCTAATAATGCCCAATCTAGTTGTCACTGTGTTTCTTTCCGTTTTCACTAGCATCAATTAAACACACACACACAAACAAATTTGCCAGTTATTCAGGTCAGACTATCCAAGATTTCACATTAAGATGGCAGTCCTGAGTACGCTTGTTGTTACGTGTTGTCAAGTCACCTCCAACTTAGAGCAACCCTATGAATAAGCAATGTCAAAAATGTCCTGTTTTCAACAGGTCTTACAAACTCAAGACTGTAGCTTCCTTTAGGGAGTCAGTCCATCTTGTATTTTACCTTCCTCTTTTCCTGCTGCCTCCCACCTTTCCCAGCATTATTGCGCACACTTACCTGGGAGAAAAGTCTCGGAGGTGAGCCTGCGGGCTTTGCTCTCTGAGCAAATGGGCAGATGTTCAGAGAGAAACAGAGCCTGTGTTTATAGTGGACTAATAATTGACTAATGATAAGATGCCTTAACCACCAAGCTACCCTTAATCTCATTTCTTTTAATCGGTTTGATAGACTTGCTCTTGCAGAGTTCGGGAAATCAAAGCCAACAGACACCTGGCTTGAATATGAAGCCCGCGTGAAACATGTTGCGAACGGATTTACTTGGATGTTGGCGTCGGGATTCAGTGGCATCATCCTTGACTCCCTGACTGCCATTCAGAGTAGGGGGGTGGGTGGGGTGGACCATGGCCTTCCAGATGGACTGCAATGCCCATCAGCCCTGGTCAGCCCAGCTAATGGAAGGGGAGGATGCGAGCTGAAACCCCAGCAACATGTAGAGGGCCATAATTGGTTCACGGGCATGCGAGCTCTGATATGAAAAGTCCTAATATAGCCATCAGAACTCATAGCCATTGATCAGAGCACAGAAAAAAAAATTACTTTGGGGGGCAGAATGATGCAGTAGTCAACCTAAAAAAAGATATTGGCCCTCTGCCACTGATTGCCTTATTGCCCATGACCTTATCCAATTCCTTTTCAAAGCCACCCATGTTTGTGCCCCCACACCTCCACCAATGAATGGAAGCTCATTTTTTTTGTCAGATAGGGCTCAGATGAATGTGGTAATCTATCTATCTATCTATCTATCTATCTATCTATCTATCTATCTATCTATCTATCTATCTATCTATCTATCTATCTATCTATTTTATTTTATTTTATTTTATTTTATTTAATACCCAGCCTATTGGGTCATTGCGACCACTCTAGGTGGCTAGGTAATGAGCCTCTAGCCATGCTGTGCTAAACCTGCGTATTCCTTTATATGGGATGCCTTTGTTACCCACATGCAGGATTAATTCTTAGCAGGTTTCTGTGTCCAGAAAGTAAAGGTTTGGTTCTCCTTTTCTGTCTGTATGTGGGAACTGGTAACATTGCTACAGTGGGGAGGCTGGAATGGATACGGGATATACAGTTCTAATCCCACCTGAGCCATTAAATCATTAAAAAATAATTAATGGCTAAGTAATTAATGGCTGAGTTATTAAAGGATAACTAAGTGGCTTAGGTATCCTGCCCTGGAGCCAGAGGTTGGGATTTCAATCCCCCACTGGGCCTCCAGGGGGGAAAAGCCAGCCTGGGTGGCCTTGGGCAAGCTGCACAGAACCAGAGCGCCCCCTGGAGGAAGGGAAGGGGAAGCCACTTCTATCGTTACCCAAGATCAAAGTAGGCAGAAAGCCTGGAGGAAGGGAAGGGGAAACCACTTCTATATTTACCCAAGATCAAGGTAGGCAGAAAGTCCAAGTAGTGTAGTAGTTAGAGCACCAGGCTGGTTTTCGCAGATGTAGGTTCTTGGAAGGGAGCCATGTCTGTCACTTTGAGCACCTTAGATGGATAGTGTGGTGTGAGAAATCTAGCTAAGAAATAACAGAAGTGTGTGGAGCTGCCTTGCTGAATCATTGTGTGTGACTGTTGTGCAACCCTGACTCTCTACAAATATTTCTACATCAATCGACACACCCACCTCTTGGAAGTCGAGCAACAAATTATGCAAAAGAGGTACAGATTTGGCAAAATTGGCCCGTTCGTTCTGACTGACAAGAAGCATATCTTTCTTGGCGCATGGCGCACGGCGTGCCGATTAGTAAATGGGGGTGAAATTAGTGTTGTTAGTCATTCTTTTCTTCATATTGATTTAGGCAATTACACGCTTTGTCTTTTTCACTTTGGTCATTAAAGTGGAGGATATTTATTTGAAAGGAACGCAAAAGCTATTAGAACCCTTCCCTCCCCTGCAAGAAAGGAAGGAGTGAGATTATGATGGATGGAAGGAAGGAAGGACGGAAGGAAGGAAGGACGGAAGGAAGGAAGGACGGAAGGAAGGAAGGACGGAAGGAAGGAAGGACGGAAGGAAGGAAGGACGGAAGGAAGGAAGGACGGAAGGAAGGAAGGACGGAAGGAAGGAAGGACGGAAGGAAGGAAGGACGGAAGGAAGGAAGGACGGAAGGAAGGAAGGACGGAAGGAAGGAAGGACGGAAGGAAGGAAGGACGGAAGGAAGGAAGGACGGAAGGAAGGAAGGACGGAAGGAAGGAAGGACGGAAGGAAGGAAGGACGGAAGGAAGGAAGGACGGAAGGAAGGAAGGACGGAAGGAAGGAAGGACGGAAGGAAGGAAGGACGGAAGGAAGGAAGGACGGAAGGAAGGAAGGACGGAAGGAAGG